TATATATAACAATGTCTGTAAAAAGAGTGATTAATATCCCCGGTTGGGCAACAGTAAGTTTACGGACTTACAAAGCCAAAATCAGGGATTAGATAGCAGATAGCTTAATGTGACTTAATTTTACCACAGTTACTATAATTCTGTGGTTGGCACTAGAGTATTTTCAACTATATAATAACACAGCGCGTTCTACAAACACACGTATACTATCATTACATTCACATAACACCACAGTTTCGAAAACTATGTTCATTCGGAACTCATTGTGAAGTTGTTCTAAGTAAGCTGGTCACTCATTTACTGGCGTCATTATATGAAATGCCCCATTAGAAAGACATGTTTTGAAGGTGGAATAATGCCATTTACCTTAAATACTAGTCAACTGTATGAAAACTTTGGGGCTATGATGCCAACCAGGGTATAGAAGTATTTTTTTGTGATTTCACGGAACTCTATGTTTAATTCAACGCTGCCATATTAGGCATGAAACATTTCCCTCATAACAGTCAACAGTAATCCATATCAATACAAGATTTAGTAAAACTTTACATGCTGGCAAAAACGTACGGATTCGAAAATATGGCTGCCCAGTTTCTCAATACAGCTTTTTTATGCACATCGTTGAGAAGAGTTACAGAGTCAGATAAAACAAATGTAAGCACTAAACTTTAAATATGACGGAGTAAATTATAGACCACGTAACTTATTAATGTTAGTAAACAACCTCTATAAAACTGGTCAGACCATTAATTTGTAAAGCCCCCAGAATGATGCATTCACCAAAAAGGAAAACCGCTTTTCCAAGCAGAAAATGAAAGATTGGAAAGAAACATCAACTAGCTTTAGCAAAGAAGAAAAAATTTCGGAAAATCAACCTCCTACAGGACTGTACCCGTGAAATAATAATGCAAAAACCACAAAGACAAAAGATCTATTCAGCACCGAAAGAAAGAACTGAAAAATGGAACATTTCATAATTATGTAAATCATTATAAATGCAATAATTATTTCTGTTTTATTGTTAAAACAGACAGCAATGAAACTGATAAGAACGTCATTGAAATAATGCCTAGAACATTGTTGGCAAAGAATTATTGAAAGTTTTGAATATTTAGTAGATAAAGCTTACAAACTATTAATTGTTAAACACCCAACTGTGCTGAAACCTATATGCTATTGGTAGTAACATTTGTGGGCGGGAAACAATTCAACTGATCAAAGAGAGGGGTATGTCATTTCAGGTGCCAAGCAGCTAGATTGTCATATCAACGAGGAATGGCATTTTTGGGCTCGGAAGAAAATTACCACATAAATCCAATTAACAGTCGTGAAGCACTTTATAAACAGGTGTGAAACTAGAAAATTGGGATGCAGACAACGACCACAAAAAATGGGGAAAACGCGATATGAAGCGACTAGAAAAACACCCAAAATGGCGAATGGCGGCCAATATTATGGCATTAATGCCCAATAGCCAGATCTTCAGTATAAATAGATCAAAGTAAAAAAATAAGAGTTTCTCGTAAGTTTACAGATGAAAGAAACCAGCTGGCTGATCGTAAATACAACAATAACTCGAAATTAATGTTTGGAATGGCGTCAAGAAAGAAGGAAAGAATAGCAGCATCTTGCTTTCATGAAATCTGCGAGGTTCGAGGAAACATCATGTAAAGCAGGGATTCCCAACTTTTCCTCCATCATTAACCCCCTCGGCTTGATGTATTTCTCCATTTACCCATTTACTTCCATACAAAAAATTCATAGCCATCATAAAGGGGCAGAAAAAAAAGAAGGTCAGAAAAAAATAATATTATTCACGTTTTACACAAAAATAGCACACACACACACACATTCTTAGCATTCTCTCTCTCTCTCTCACACACACATTTTACAAAATGAAATTTAATTGAATTATTATTCAATCATCAGGTACATCAATTATTTACCCCCTGCCATGTAATTTTTTACCCCAAGGGGTAAATTTACCCTTGGTTGAGAATCACTGATGTAAAGCAAAGGTCAAGCGATTACTGTGTGCAGTAGAATTCACTGCAGAAGCGACATTGTACGGAAAGAATCATGGAGGTTTGGCGTTAAAAACTCACAGCGAAATAAAACAAGCGTCTGTTCAGCAATGTGGATTACTTGTTGATCCACAACATAGTTATATTGATGAATCTCCAGCGAAGGTGACATTTTGGAAGTGAAGTGCCCCAAAAAAGCAAGAACGATCACCTCCCAAGAGACGGCAAAAATATCAACGACTTTTATCTGCATATTACAAAATAAAAAACAACACGAATGAAATCGTGTTGAACCGAAACTATTACTAGTATTAAGTTCAGGGTCTTTTACATATTTCACGTTGACTGTATTGTAACATTGTTGTATGGACTCTAAAAGGGATACACATCAAATAAATAAATATAAATGATAAATTCTGGGAAATTATTATATTTCCTTAACTACGCCGATTCAATATGGAATGTTTACTCCCATAATTAGTTTGTTTGTTTGTTTGTTTTTAATTATGCACAAAGCTACACAAGGGCTATCTGTGCTCTGCCCACCACGGGTATCGAAACCCGGTTTCTAGCGTTGTAAGTCCGCAGACATACCGCTGTGCCACTGGGGGGGGCCCCATAATTAGTAAACGCTAGACTGCCAAGTTTGTGTGTTTGAAGTTAAGCACAAAGCTACGCAATGGGTTCTCTGTGCTCTGCCCACCACGGGTATCGAAACCCGGTTTCTAGCGTTGTAAGTCCGCAGACATACCGCTGTGCCACTGGGGGCAGACTGCCAAGAAACATGGAGATCGAAGAACAAGCTACTGAAAAACGAAAACATAACGATGTACAAAGAAGCAAACAAAAATGTAAAAAACACATTCAATTGAATAATTTGCAAAACACTGCAACCTTTCGCCATATATTACTTCATTATGCAGTGTGTTTTGTGTATTACATTTTATTTCCGGAGATATGCTTTCATAATTAAAATACTAATAAAAATGTAACATTTCTAAACGTTCCTTATTTGTATATATAGCAAATATGCTTTAAATCAAAATTTTCTCATTATTTCTTTATGATTAGTTCTTTTTTAAGTTTTCTAATAGGAATGCTTTAGTAAGTTTCTGCCAATATATGTATTGTTAAGCACGATATTGATTGTCTTCAATATTTTTTTTTTTTACACCACGGTTATTGAATGAGTAAATATAGTGAAAACTGTCATATGATGTTCCTTCCATAATGTTTCAATATAGAAAGTTCTTTTTAATACTTAATGAAATTTATAATTCATTACTATTGCTCTTTGTATTTGTGAATTGTAAAATAAAATAACTGTTGTTCTTTAATTACAAGCCTATTCCCAGAAATATGGTCAATTGTTGAACAAAGGTTATGCTGTGTTATATAAATACTTGAAAGAAATCCTGAACAGGATCGTTGCTAGGATACAATTGAGTAAACAGAATTTGTGGTTACTATTAAATTAGCCATATTAGTCTCTTATAGAAATAATATACTTTGTATATTTCTGCAAATAAAACTGAATCTACGGAATGAAGTAGTTTTACAAACAATGAAACAGAGGGATAAAATATGTCAAGTAACTCAAGTTTAAAAAAAATATGAATCGAAATACAAATACCTTATGATTTTCCAATAATATAGAAGAAGAATTTTTCTTATCTAGTATTTTTTTTTCTTTTTGAAAATCCAGGGGGGGAGGTCAAATGACCCCTCGCACCTTCCTGTGGGCGCACATGATATGCTTTGTTGTAGGTACGTCACTGTTTTGCGCAAAATGGAATTGTTTCGTTCTAACAAACTAGTCGATAACGAGGAACCCACTTTTTGGAAAATATAAGTTTTGAGACGGCTTGACTGGGTAATGAAAAACTTCATTATAAATCTATACTGCATGTATCTCTGTAAACTACTTGTACCTGAGGATGACAGAATCTTGTCGAAACGTCTTACATTTATGAGTTTTCATTTGAACGTATTTTTATGGGAAAAGGAGGTGAAACTTAAAAATAATTGCTAAATTTACGAGCTCATAGGAATAAAAGAAAAAACAACAACGAAGAGAAATAAGCCATTGAATCCGGTTGTTTTTATGTTTAGATATTGTATATCAAAATATGCAAAAACTTCAAATAACAACAACAAAAACTAACGCAAATGGACATTAGCATGCACTACATATAAATTTAAATGACTCCATGATGATTAATATAGACTACGGTGTTAGAAACGTAATTTCTTAACTTACGACGAATGTGAATTGAGACTAAAAAAAGACCCATTTTGTGTTACGATGAACATAAAAGCCAATCTTTCAAACTGGTGACAAAGATACTGTTTTTGAGGAAAAATTAAGATTATTAGGGCACCTAAAGTTAAGAATAAATTAAGTTGTGCACCAAGATGTTTCTGTTATTCTAAGTTTCTGTAAATCTGAGAAAATGACTATTAGTAGAAACCATATGCTTAAGTCTTCATAACACTTTATAAGAAGAATTTGCTGCTTGTTTCACAACGCATAAAAATGTAAATATAAATAATTGATTTAACAAAATACAAATGCAGTTCTTCCAATAGTCCTAAAACGTTTGCCCCCTCACCCTCTATTTAGTGGTAAATTTGATGACTTATAACGTTAAAATTCAGAGTTTGATCCTGGCGTTGGGCACATCACTGATAGATCAAAATATAAATTGAAAATATTCCATTCTCTACTACCTGTTAAATAGAGTAAAATACATTATTTTGGCTGGACAGTTGTATTCGAAAAGTGTTTTTCTGATGAGTTTCACACATTGTGAGTGGTGGAGAAAAGTGAAGCTACAATCGTTCTGGTAATACATATTCACTACACTTTAGCATTAAAACAATAAAAAACAACATAATCTTGTTTCAAACATATTGCTTCTCATCGCTTGACAGTGGTACTGAATGTAATTGACAAGTAATATATTGGTCACATACCAGTTGTCGTTTCTTACGCTTTCTTTCCAACGTAAAAGACTGCAAACTGGATGAGCAGGTTTGGGCTTCTATGTCTGTCTATTGGTATGCAAGAAATAATAAGAATCATGGTATTACATGTATGACACATGCTGTTTTATCCTAGACAAAGAATATTGTTTTAAGTAGGTATTACGAATGACAATTTAAAGATGAAACATTTCAATAGTATGTTTGATTATCAAGCTATTTACAACGTTAAGAGTTAATACAGAAATGATCGATTAAGTTTTAAGATCAGAAAAGGTTAAAGGAAAAAACACATTAAAATCATTCATAAGAACACATGGTATAGAAATATAATTTCAAACAACTTTGAATTATTATATATATGTATGTATATAAAAACAACAACAACAAAAAAAAACACAGCTTTTTCGCTATTCTTGAAATAAACATGAACACTAGTGGCACAAAATATGATCTTACAAGTGATTTATGCTATTTTTTTTCTAGACAAATGTTTATTTTTGAAAGTATACGTAGCTCATAGTTACAAATTTATATTTTCGATAGATGGCACTGAAGGTTTTATCGAATACACAGATGTAAACAAGAACACACACATTGTTTTGCTTACCAGTTTACACCGCTCATCTGACATCAAGTCATCTATACTTGCACACAAAAGTCTCTCCAAGGATTCCGGTTTTTTAATGTTACGGTTTAAACAAAACTTGTCCTTCTGGACTGGGTTTAAATTACACACAGTGACAGCTGGGAAGGGCAACACCCGCGAATCGGCTTCTTTTACTGTTACTGTTACAGGATAACTGATATAGTTTTTGAATAAGTTGAATAGATCGCGACACATAAAGCCAGAGAGAACAATAAATATTAATAACCATAATATTCGACGAATTCCTCCAGTACCGGCAATATTAGCCAAACCAGGAACACCAGATCCTGCAAATAAAGCTGAGAGAGATGCCATTCCCAAAAGGTTTATTTAGAAATATATATTTTTACACCCGTTCTTATAAAGGGTTAACAATTAGATGTCCACAATTTCTCTTTCCCTTACCTGAAACTGAAATATTGAAACTGTTTTTAAAATGAGTATTTTTTATCAACAAAGAAGTAAAAGTTCAATTAAGAGGCCGGAGTTCTATTTCTATAAAACATGCGAAAAGTTCCTGATATATATTACTCATTTTGAAGCCGGACAGGTTTAACCTTTTCATGAAATTTTTGAAACAATGCACTTTCACGCCATGGTAGCGCAACACATGTTTAGAACAGTACGTCATATTACTGAATAACCAATCACACTATCTAGTTTATATATTTACTAGCAATTGGCCAAAACTTTATCCAATTACACTTTTCAAATTTAGTTACCATAGCAATCTGTGTTGGTGCAGATGATTATGCTCACGTATTTGTTTCTTTTTTATTGCTCTAGAATACTTTTGTATCTATTCAAATGAAAATGTTATAGCCACCGAGATTACTCTAATACGTTAATGTTTAAAAAGGTGATACATCATCTTTATTATGTACCTCGTGCTTGCTTTACCTTTTATAAGAGGAGACGTTTATGTTAGTACACTGTCAACAATGGCATATACAATTTACAAATGCTAGAATATAACAGCATTAACATGGTAAAACATTGTTATCAAACAAATGAATTTACAAAAACTAAAACCTATACGATATAAAAGTGCAGTGTAAGCTACGTCTCTTTTTGTCACGAGAACGAACAATACAGGTACAGATCAATCATTGCAAATGTGCCATAGAAATATTCTCTGTTTTCTTGGTGTTTGTCCCTATGAAATTTCATTCATTATCAAACTCTACTTTTCGGTATCTAACATTTAGAAATATACATACATATTTTTATATGAAATTTTTTTTTCAAATGCTAGTTCTCTGGCTGACTATGGGAGAACAGTGACAATTTAGAAAATTACTTTAGTAAGTAATGCTCCTAAAACAATACATGTGTATAGGCTCCATTACCAGTCCGTTGGTTTTTACCGATTGAGTCACTTTCAACTTTATTTTCTTTCTTGGATATTGTAATATTTTTTTCTAAAATAAAGCCTCATAAGATCTATAAACACTTGCCTCTTAATCAACACCGGACATGTAGTGTGTTCGTAATGCGGTCGTATCATTGATTTTTGTTGTTGCTGTTTCTCTTTTCCTAAAAGTTCTTAGTTATAACTAGATAAATTAAGTACACGTATTAATACAGATAGAAAATGACATATTTTGAGGCTATAAACTATTCAGTTTGCTACATTCACACACGTTTATATTTACATACATAATTTTGCGTTAATAATCAAAATTCTTATTACTTATCTAAATTACTCATTTTCTAATCTTAAAATACAACATTATGAATTCATTGGATGAAAAACTTTAAAAGCAAATATTTTTTGATCGAACAAAAGATTATAAAAAATGTCGGCCATTATTAACAGCGAGATCGCGTGAAGGTTGTGGCTTATGATATTGTCAAGATTTGATACAATACACGAACATTCCTCAAGCTTGCTATCACCGTTTACGAGAGAGAGAGAGAACAAATTAAATGGAAATATCCATAACTTTTGGATATTTTGCAACGCCCACCACTTTAGTCTCGCAAAATAATATATATATATACTATATATCGATATATTTAGGATATATCTTTAGCAGTAAAATTATTAATAAACCTTAATCAGGTGCTGTTTACAAATCACTTGTGAAATAAACCATTAAAGTTTTCATTATTATATTTATTTCAGCACCGTGGTGTATAAAAGTGAAGTTATACAGAGATGTTAAAACCACGCGATTCGAGAGCTGTAATTATTTTTTACCTGTCTTTGATGTTAAATAAAAATATGTATTCATATAATTAAATGTACGACTATAGATTATGATTACTAGGTATGCGATTACAGTGAATAGGTACTGTTAAACCTGTCTGATGATTTTTGTGTTTATGAGTGATCTTGATATTTAACTGGTATAGTTATAAGAACCAACTTCTGAAATTTCAATGACTTAAAGGCTCGTGTCACAAACTAAACCATTTAAGTTAACACTGAAAGCTATGTTTTATACATGTCTTTTTTTTTACAAATGTATCACCGACATAAACTTTCATGTTCGAGTCTGCGGCAAAATAATTAAAATGAAGTGAATGGTGCACTAAAGACGGTGATTATTTGGTTACATTTAGCTATGTGTTGAAACAGTTTCTGTACAAACAGACTGCGAAACTTAAGTACTTTTACATCACCTGCATGATATTCGAATGTACTATAGTGCATATGATTTGATCTTGATCGTACTTTTGCTTTTGTAAAAACAGATATACAGATTACAATGTCCATTAGCGTAATGATATTTAGATAAAGCGGTTTATAGTCTGTAGTCAATATGGTTTAGTAAGTCAGTAAAGTAGTTCTTGCAAACTTTCCTGGCTTCTCAAGATAAGAAAACAACAGCATATTTGCCCATATTACTCTAGCAAGAAACTACAATCCTTTTTTTCTAGTTATATTAGATAAAAGTAGATATAGATCTCGAAAACAATTGAAAACAACTGACAGTGCAACACCTAGTTGAAGTCTATGTTTTTTGAAGAAATTGCAATTTTCATCCAAAATGACACTTTATGTGCACGTAGTTTAAATGGCCAGCCATGTCAGAAACCACTAGGGTTCAGGTATAGCTACCTTCTAATTTTGAGCTATTGACAACCCCGCTAATAGCACGTGCCGTCACAAGGGCTTTATTTGGCTTTTAAAACTGAATAATGGATGGATTGAGTGTCACTTTTTATAACGCATTCACCGCTGAAAGTGTGGAGAATGTTCAACAGTTTCACATATTGAACCTTACAGCCTTTGATCCACAGTCCTGCATGTTAATTACTAGGCCACACTCTGGTCGATGTACAAGGGAAAATGATTTATGATTATTATTTTGATGAAATTGAAAAATGTATTGTGACTGCCTTATAAAATGGTCATGTTCTAAACACTGTGTCTTAGGTGTAAAATGGGCATAATCTAAGTATAAAATAGGAGTGTTTAAGTTTAAAATACCTTATGCTAGTTATTGTTCATAGGACAAATATTATTGAACAGATCTTGTTGTCTAGATCTCTGTATTGCAAGTGTGCAAATATATTACTCATACTTGTTTCAGTTCAGAGCATTTAAATTGTTAGTAATATTCTATTATGTATAATACAGTATACAGAGAGATGATCAAATTTTATAAGAACTATTTCAAGATACAACCTCTGGAGCTACGGGAGTCATGTATTTGAGTATTTATTTTTTACATGGAGTAAATACTTCTACGTATTTGAGTCACTGTGAATTCTCAACCACTCGATAGTATAATGCTACCTGGACAGTATTATGGTTGGAGGGAGAGATGTTCAGTATTGAAAATAATTATGGAAACAGTATGTATTGTACGAAAATGAACTGTTTCACAGCACAGTCACATGCTGATAGTTAACACTGTTATTGGCTACCATTAGCCCAATCAGACAGTACTACACCAGTATAATAACTATAAAAGTACAGACAGTTATACTTTCCCTATCAGTTTGTTATGAATTCACATGGTGAAGGCTACTCTATGGGACAGACTGAGACAAAATGTCATGTTTCACTAGGAGCTGTATATAAACTCTGAAGAGGATTCGTTAAACTAATACTGGTGATAACAGAAACAATACAGATAGAAAGTCCAAACACATCAAAAATGGCTCATAATATGTTCCAGTGACTAAACTGTAAGTATAAGTGTGATTGTTACCTCCAGGACAGTAAGATGTGTATTAGCACGAAGTGTTCTCAGTGGGAGTGTATCTGCTGAAATGTCACTGCTTATAAGAGATAGTCAAACACAAAGGCTGAAATCAGCACCAGCCTCCAAACAGTGGAATGATCAAACTTGAAGGACTATTATATTTACAAACGAATCCAAATTGTTTGCTAACAATTAACAAAGATTGACCATGACAAAGAGAAGAACAGTATCATGGTCAATATACAACATGCACAGTGAAGCATGTTGATGGTCAAATAAAAGTAAGGGCTGCATCTCAGTCTATAGTGTTGGAGATCTCCACAAAACTGACAACAGATGGCAGCTTGATTGCTGACAGGTACAGAATATTCTTATCTATCATGTTATTCCGTCAGGAACAAGACCTGTTATGCAGAGATCAATATTCCAGAAAGATAATAATCCCTGTCATGCATCAAATCTCATGAAACGGTACCTGAAAAAAAAAAAAAAAGAGAGGCCGATGGAACACTTGAAACAAGGGCGTGTTCTTCCCAATGTCCAGAAGCTGATAGTGAATCGACCACTAAACAACTTGACTGAATAGTAAGGACTAATACAGGATATTTGGAACAATATTTCACAATCAACACGGATAAACGTATGTAGCATAAACACAATATATGCTGTTATATTTAAAGAAAATTTAAAAATAATAGCACATTGTACAGTTTTTTCGCTCTTCTTTTATATTTTATGTAATAATGTATTGTGCTAACGATAAAGTTACCATTTATTTGTAGTTACTTATTTTTGTGATTCCTGTATATGTATCATTGTGCATTTCAATAATTATTTCGAATACTGTAAGTTACAGCCCTTTTCGAGAAAGGATATTCTTATAAAGGTATTAATGGGCAATATAAAACTAAAGCATACAACATTTTGACGAAGGGAGCCTTTAATATTTTCCATGCAAGCGGATAAACTCTCACACCAGAATATTTAAGATAACAACAAGCTCTAAATCAACGCATTAGGCCAATCTGCAGGAAATGCCATCATCCGAAAATTGAAATTTATGGCTACAAAAAAGAGCCCTCTAACCCAAAAATCTATTGTGATAAAACTGGGCTTATTTCCTAGTTTCTTTAACAAGAAAAGAAAGATTTGAAG